GTCTCTGGCTTGGAAGTTACTCTGCTCTGATCTCTGCCCCAGTCTTCACAGGCTCTCTCCCTGTGTGGGTTTAGGTCTCTTTCCCTCTCTTTAATTTATTTATTTATGGTACAGGGGATTGAACCCAGAGACACTTAACCACTGAACCACATTCCCAGCCCTTATTATTTTATTTTTATTTTGAGGCAGGTTCTCACTAAGTTGCTTAGGAACTCAATAAGAGTGGAGGCTGGCCTCAAACTTTTGATCCTCCTGCCTCAGCCTACAGAGTTGCTGCTTTCATGGGTCTGTGCCACAGTACTGGCTCTTCCCTTCTTATTACACATCATCCATTAGATTTAGAGTCCACTGTAACTCAGTTAGACTCATTTTAACTCATGGTGTCTGTGTGATGGGCTGCACAATATCCCTCCCTACAAATGCCTATGTTGAATTCCTGGTACCTCAGAATGTGACTGTGTGGAGATAAGGCCTGAGATTAGGACACAGACACAGTGGGAAGTGCACCTGAAGATAGGCCATGGGAAGACGGCTTTATGAGCCGAGGGAGAGGCCTAGAAGACATGGGCCCTGCTAACACTGCTGTCTTGGGCCTTGAGCTTCCAGAACTGTTAGAATAATAAACATCTGTCATTTGAGCCACCCAGTCTTCGGTACTTTGTTACAACCACCCTAACAAGCAACAACAATCTGCAAAGACCCTCTTTCCCAGTGAGGTCGTATTTGGCAGTCCTGGGTAGAAATAATTTAGGGGTTCACCATCAAGTACAGCATGAGTGAAGGAGTGTGAGTTGGGAGAAATGATTCTAGAAAGATGGTCTGCGACCCAACTGTGGAGAGCCTCAAATGCCAGGGCTAGGGGTCGGGACCTTGTTCTAGGAGCACAGACTCTGTCCATGAGAACAAGAAACATGAGAAGTAAGCAAAAAGAAATGGTTGCAATTTCTAGACCATCCCTGCATCCTCCTAAAGAGCGTCCAGGTGTGTCAGACCTGGGCAGCTGGAGACCTGGTGATGTTGAGCATGTGGGAAAGGCTTTTGGGGTGTATAAATTCTTGGGATGATGCATGTTTTCTTCTGGGGCACCGATGATACCAGGTGGGGGCTGCTGGAACTCTACCCTCTACAAGGACTGTGTGTGGATTAGCGATGTCACTGAGGGTGAAGGAGGAGAAATGGGGTCTGCCTGGCTTGAGTGCTTCCTGCAAAAACACTCATTGAAATGTAGTTACCATTGGCACGAGGTGTTGGCACGAGGGACCTTTACGAGGTAATTAGACCATGAGGGCCCTGCCCCCGTGGGTGGGATTAGTGTTATAAAAGCCAAGTTCCAGCCCTCCTTCTCTCTGCTCTCTTTTGCCTCCACCCATTGACTACGCAGAGACAGCCCAGCCTCCCAGCCTCCCAGCCTCCCAGCCTGCCAGCCGTGAGTCAGTACATTTCTGTTCCTTATGCTTTCTGTGGGGTTCCATTTTTGCAGCACAAAACAAACTAAAGGAGAAGCCCAGGTGCCTCATGTTGGCTATTCCTGATTGGATCATTCGGCTCATGGAACTGGTTTCATTTGTTTCTGATGGGGATGGGTACTGGGGGTTGAACTCAAGCACGCTCTACCAGCTCTTTCAATTTTGAGACAGGGTTGCTGAGGGCCTCAGAACATCACTGAGACTGGCTTCAAACTTCTGATCCTCCCACCTCGGCCTCCTGAGGTGCTGGAATGACAGGTGTGCACCACCGTGCTGGGCACGGGGCTGGTTTCTGAGTGGCAGCTACAGCTTGTCCAGAGTCTGTGTAACTGTGTGGAAGCAACACTTTTGTTCGAATGTTAATCATTCTTGGAAGTGAAAGGTTTGCAACTATCTTGTGGAATGTGACACTGCGATGATGCCTAGTGCGTGGTGAATTCCATATGGGACGATGGCCTTGCCGACACCAGGTTAGAGGTAATAGCACTCAATAGCACTTTGACAAAGCTGTTTATTTGAGTTTTCCTTCCTCTGGTCCAGGCAGCGTACTCCAGAGAGTATCCCCTGTGACATTTTCGAGCCTCCTGGCCCAGTTCAGCTGGTGGTTGTTGACTCCTATGTCCTTTCCTGTCCGTCACCAAGAACCTGTCCCTTGCCAATGCCCCAGGTTTACGTTTTTCTGGATACAGTTTTGATATACTTTTTGGGGGGTGGTTCTTGTTTGGTTTTGGTACTGGTGATTGAATGTAGTGATGTTCTACTATTGAGCTACATTCCGGGTCTGTGTAGTTTTTTTCTTTTTTCTTTTGTGTTTTGTTTTAATTTTAAGTCAATGTCTTGCTAAGTTGCTTAAGGCCTCTCTAAGTTGCCTAGGCTGGTCTCAAACTTGCAAACCTCCTGCATCAGCTTCCCCAGTTGCTGATTACAGGTGAGCATCATCACACCCAGCTCGTTACTGTTTTTAAGTAGGAAATAAACCAAATCTTTTAGGAAAGCAAAATATTTCAACCTGGAGGTAAGAGATTTAAGAGAGGAAAAAAGTTCCTGTTGAAGCTTTGTATTCTCTGATAAAATGACTTCATGGTATTTAAATCATCTGTTCCTTTAATAATATATAACATCATGCTTGGAACCTGGGGCATAGCAAATAGAGCTTGCATCTTGTACCTGAGCAGAGGGATATGAATTTGCTAGTTTGTTCATTAATGTATTAACTGGTTTATTCAGTCAATGCATATGAGTTCTGTGGAAATACAATAATAAACAAAACATAATTTTCCAATTCCTGGGCACTTGAAGATTACAGTGTGAAGGGAGAGACATTTTTTAAAAAAATTTGTTAAAAATCAAACAAGCAGGAGGTACATGGTGCAGTGGGAATTTATAACAAGGAGATTTGATCCTGGCAGAGTCTGTTCCTTAAAAATTTTTCTATTACCTCTTCTTATTAACAGAACCCAAATTTTCCTTGGGGGTGGCAAGATATGCAGCACAATAATCACCCGCCCAGCTTTTCATGGGGCTAACAAATCCATACAGCAATTCTAACATGAGATTTGAGTGACAATCTACTGGAGGACATAAGAGAACAAACCAGAATGGTGGTACCATTCTGTGTGTCATCTCACGTTGCATGTGGATATAATGTCTGGAGCTAAAGCAGATACTTTGTGATTATCAGGAAATGTGAACAGGATTACAGAAATTCTATTCTTGCCCTTATTAACCTGCTAAGTAGCAATACTAACAATTGCCCATGTCCTGACTTTTATAATACATGGAAATCCTCATCTGTTTCATCACGTTTAGTGGCATTTTTGGTTTCTTGTCCCCACGTGCAATCCTAAGGTCTGATGTGGGAGCTCAGAGTTTCCCTGGAGAAATCTTGATTAACTGAGATTTGACATGTAAGATTTAACTAGTTGAAGAAGGAAGAGATTCTAGGCAATGAGAAACAAGTGTGCCTTCCTGTGCTGAGTGGGAGATTGATGCCTATGAAGGGTGTCGATAAACTGAGAGCCCCAAAAGCAAAGGGAATGGAGGCTGAGACCACGTGGCCTTTCCTAGCCTAAGAAACTTAGAAGACAGCACTCGCCAGGGTAAACTGGGTCTCTGTGTGGTCACTCTACTTGGGCAGATTAAATATGTTGGGCAACTGGAATTACTGGCTTTTCATAAAACGCTTTGCATCCCTCTCCTGACAGGCTTAGACTTTCATAGCCCCCTTCCCCTAGAAAATGACCCAGAGGCTAAGAGCCTGCCTTTAGAGTTGCAGGTAGTAGTTCTGGTGTGAAGAGCTGAAAAAAGCAGAATTGGTTTCTAGATGATGAAGCTCTGACCCGGAGATTTCATTCCCTAGTGATGAGCCTATTGCTCTCTATTCTTCTCTCTCTGAACCCACTTTCTCCTTCGGTTGGATTATGGTCTTTCTAGTCTCACCTCTCTTCATAGATTTTACTAGTCAGCATTATTTTGGTGGCAAGTGACAGACCCAACGATGGGAGGTATGGTATATGATCCTGGCTCTCCACCTCCTGGGAACGCAGCAGAATTCTCTTGCAGATCTCAGAGCAGAGACGATGTTTGCCGTTTCTGTATTGGGTGGTGCCAGCCAAGGCTGTCGTGGGTCTCCAGAGCGCTCTTCTCCTCTGCTCTCTAGCTTCCCAGCATGATGTAGAGTAGAACCCCTTTCCCTGGACATCGAAGTACACAAGAGAAATGAGCTTGTGTTTCAAACCACTCTGATTTTTAAATTTTTTAATTTGTTTTAATTAGTTATGCATGACAGTAGAATGTATTTATGCACTTTGATATACCATACATAAATGGGATATAATTTCTCGTTTATTTGAGTGTACATGTTGCAGAATCACATTCGTCATACAGTCACATATGTACATAGTAGAATGAAAGAGACATTATGACTGTCTCCCCTCCCCTCCCCTCCCCGTCTAAGGTAATGCTATTCTTCTCTAGTGACCTCTGCCTTATTATAAATTGGCATCCACATATTAGAGAAAATATTCAGCCATTGGTTTTTTGGGATTGGCTTATTTCACTTGGCATGATATTCTCCAACTCCAACCATTTACTGTCAAATGCCACTTGAACTTGCAACTGTAGCACTACCCAGCCCATCCTGGCTGATAGGTTTTGAGATGGCCACTGCATCATCTCCCAGCCTTTCCTTGCTGATGGGCCACTTTAAAGCAGCTCACATGCAAAGGAGAACTTGTCTTGTATAACTTGGGGGAATTATGGGGCAGCTCATAGAATTCACAGAAATTGACACCAGGCCTTAGGGGATTGGGATGATGAACTAAGCGCTAGGTGAGAACACACACATTCTCTCTCTCTCCTGCCCACCCCCAGCCCCTGATTGCCCCCTCATTTCTCATCACTGTTGAGATGCCTTGGAAAGCAGGAGTTCATCTGATGCATTTTTAAGGACCCCCTCCCTCCCTGATTGCATCTATTTATTGCAGGTGAAACTGTTCTCTGAAGACATCTGTGTCACCAGTTTGGTCAAATGCAGAGTATTTTCTGCCAAGTTTATACAAACCAACATAGTATGAATGACTATAATGAACATACGAACACGTCCACATTGATCAGAATCCAGGCTTTATTATTGTCTGATGAAAAGAGCTAAAACTTAATTCCAAGCACGTGTAATTAAAGTTTGCGGAGCAAGATGTGATTCACAAAACAGTGAAAATTTAAAGAAACTGGATATTTGTTGGAAGGACAGAATATATTGAGAATTTTTTTTTCTTCTAAAAAGCCCTCTTCCCAGAGCCTCAATTTTGTAACTTCATCTGAAGCGATGAAATTATTTTCTGCAATTTTGTTGAGAAGTTTCATGGGGATAGCATTTGGCAGGATAAAAAAAAAATTACCTAGATGCATGGCTCTAGAATAGTGCTGCCTAAATCCAACTTGAAACTTCCAAAGATAGTTTGTCTTGAAGAGACTTAAATGATTTTTTCCACCATCATTATATATTTAAGTATATAAAGAAAGTTTTAAAAAAGCTAACATATATATAGGGAGACAGTAAAGATATAAAAGGAAGGAGAAAATAGGCTTTTCTCCATCGCTCCTGGCCCACAAGTTCTGCTGCTCTTGTTCTGCACTTCAGAATTTCCCCTTTATGGGGAAACTGATGTCATGCTGGGCATGGAATCCATCACGCATGCTACCTGCTCATGTCTTTTTGGACCCTGCCTGGGAACTTTAAAAAAAAAAAAAAAAAAACTTGGGTGGGGGAGTTCAAACTTGGGTGGAGGAGTTCAAAAGAAACAGAGTTAAATCAGAACCTCCTCAGACATCATGGTCCTGAGGCAGCACACAAGACACAAGCCCAGCAGGGGAAGCAGCCACTCAAAGGGCCCTGGGCTAGCAGGTGTATGGGAGGTGGGGCAGATGGAGCATGAGAGAGAAGTTGTTGGGTTACACAGCACCCAGAACCTCTGATTTAGGGAATTCTCATCCCACAAATACACACAGAATGCATCTATAGCAATGTCTGACCAATGCATGGTGGTACATGATGGTGGTCCCATAAGATTGTAATGGAGCTGAAATATGACCTTTGCCCACTGCCATGGTAGCTGCCCAAGGTCATAATGCAGGGCACTACTCATGTGTTTTGGTCATACTGGTGTAGACCAATGCACTGCTCTGTCAGTTGTATAAGATACAGCACATACAATTAGGCACCATACAGAATATTTGATAATAATAAATGATTTGCTGCTTTATGTATTTATCATATGCTATGGCTTGAGGTAGCCTCATTTATCTATTTCTCCCAAGGGTCCCCAGGGTGGGAGTATTAGCAGGTGCTGTGGATCTTAAGAGATGGAGCCATATTGGAGGCCCTTATCATGCCCTGAAAAGAGATTGTGGGACTCTGCCCATCCCCCCTCTCTTGTTGTGCAATAGTTTGAAATGTGACCATTTACTCCAACATGGCCCCTGCTGGGATATGCTGCCATCTGCCACCCTCATCATTAAACCAAGCCAACAGGACTGCCCAGTCTTGAACTTTGAACCACCCAAACTGTGAGCTAAATAAACCTTTGTACTTCATATGTAGACTGTGTCAGGTATCTTATAGTGATGGAAAACTGACTAATACACTATACTATCATTTTATTACTGTTTTAGAGTAGAGTCCTACTTATAGAAAAATAAGTATATGATAAGGCAGTATGCCATCTTGCACCACCAGCAGCTGCATACATCTTGTGTTTACTGCATCTGTTGATCACATCAGGAAGCCACTTGGACTATTTAACTTATACCACATAAGGTTGCATAAATATACACTATGATGTTCATATCACCAAAATCACCTCTGACACATTTCTCAGAAAGTATCCCTGTGCTAAACTTTCAAGAGAAAATCTTCCAGGTAGCCTAAGCTTGCTTTTCTGGGTTGAAGCAGTGTGTTGTATTTTTAAACAGACTGAGTCTACACAAATGAGAGGAACAAGGAAAGAGAAAGAATATGATAGCCCTTTTCATAGATGTCATTTTAATAGCGTGCACATGTCTGGATCATTATTTTCTGACCCCTTGAAGGGCAAACTTACAATGAAATATGGTAGCACAATTGTCTGATCCTGTATCGCTATGGACTTTGACACTTGTGTGGCAATTTTGCAATTAGTAATTGCAATTTTGACATATTCTTGGGGACCAGCAGCCTCTAAGTCATGTCTGATCTTGCTTGGAGGATGTATCTGCAGAGGGCCTCTTAAGGGATGGTGAACTCGCAGATGTACCTCTTGCTACTGCGGCAGGCCTCATCGCTCCATTTCCCCTGAGCCGACTGGGAGAAGAGGATGCAGTTTTCCTTCTTGCCTCCATTGGGCTGTGCACGGTCCCAGTTGAGGAAGGAAACGGCGAATCCGTGGACATCGAGAAACTTGCCTTCCGTGACCATGTCATTGATGCCCAGCCAAAAGTCATCGACGCCTGGCAGGCTCCTCTTACCATAGTCTCGGAGGGCATTGATCTCATCGGTGTTCCTGGGCACGACCAATGTCCCTCCCTTGGAAATGCAGTCTTCATTGGCTTCATGGAAGTGCTTTGAGCCTTCCGATGCAAGGTAGCATTTCCTGTGAACTTTTGTGCCTCGAAGACACACTGTGGGATGTGAAAGTATATACGTTAATTTGCTTTTGAGTGTACCATGCCTGGCGCAGACAGCCATAAACTTGGATGGAATGGATAACATGTGACAGTGATGATGAGTTAGTTTATTGGTGATTTTGTGTGTGTGTGTGTGTGTGTGCGTGCGCTGAGCACTATACATACACAAACTCATAATAATCATGACCACCCTGTGAAGTGGTACATCATTACCCCACTTATCAGAACATTGAGGCTTAGAGAAATCCTTACTTTTCACAACTTAGCCATATCAGTAATGTAACTTGCATAGCATATAAAATCACCTCTACACAATTCAGGTCTGCCCCACCTTCAAAACATTTTTTTTTTTTTGGTGGGGGGAATAGTGGGGATTGAACCAAGGGGTGCTTAACCACTGAACAACATCCCCAGCCATTTGTTGTTGTTGTTGTTGTAGTATTTTATTTAGACATCAGGTCTCACTGAGTTGCTTGGGACCTCACCAAGTTGCTGAGGCTGGCTTAGCCCCCCAAGCAACTAGGATTACAGGCTTGCACCACTGTGCCCAGCTCAAAGCATGATCTTCAGCCTCTAGCTGCTTTGATACTCCTGTGCATCCTAATTTATGCAGATCTGTGATATGCTGAATTTCCTTGGGACTTCTGGATTCGGATGGGATTTCAAAATGATCAAAACAAAAGCAAAAGTCTGAATTTGTGTTTGCAGAGCCCATGGTTTTGTTAAGTGGGATAACTGAGACCTTGTAATACTTTTTGGGCTACCTGGGAAAAAGTAGACATAAATATACTTTTTGAGCACAGCTCCAGGGCCATGGTGCCCAGCTTTAGGTCTCCTCTCTGATGTTTCCTAGCTGTGTAAACCTTAGATAAATTTACTTAATTTCTGTGTGTTTCACTTTCCTCATCTGTAAAGTGAGGATAATCGTCATCAGCACAAGCTGGAAGAGTCGACATAAATCAGCTATTCAACTTAAGTTGTTGGTGGGTTCATAAAATAGGTGTAGTGACAGAATATGGGTAAAAGGTTACCCAAACTTTCTTTTCCTTCTGCATGAACATTTAACTTCACTTTAACTTTCTGATTCTGTATCCCCGGAAACCTGAACAGGGGAACATGGTACCGTGTTACTAGGCAACTTTGCTTATGGTAAAAGTGACCCTGGATTGGTAACTACCTCCAGCCCAGGAGTTAAAATTGCTTGATGGAAAGCCGTGACTTGTGTCTTCCCTGAAGTGTGACCTTGTACTTGGGCAAGTTCCTGTGGGGCCTTCTACACTCTGCTTTTGGAGTTGATATGAAGAATATTGTTTCCAGGGATGGAAGCTTTGCAGGCCAGGGCTTTTTCTGAACCTGCCCAGTGCACTCTAATTTCCTCCCTCTTGGAGACTAGCTTCTGGATGAATGTGTGGCTACACAGGCTGTGCACAGGAACACAGGACGCAGCCCAGTGGGCAAGCCTTGGCTCTCACCTGTGTCTCTCCACAGGCATCTGATGCCCAGTGTGGCCTGGGGGATGCCCGTGAGCCTGATCATTTGATCTCAGTGGCTCTCCTAGGGGTAAACATTTCACACCAGTCAATGCTGTGCTTTGGTCATTTAATACTTCCTTCACTCTGTTTCTCCACCTAGTAGAGAGGAATTATGCCCTGGCTTCTAGAATGTATTCTAGAGCCACTAGTTTTATTTCTGTACCACCCACATAGAGGAGGAAGAGTTGGCAAATGGAGCTGATTTCCCAAAACAATCATCTCCCAGATTTCAGGTCCTCTCACTGGAACACATCTGCGGTTTGTCCACGATTCTTTTAAGAAGAGCTGTCACCCAGAACTCCAGATGTGGTCTGGGTTAGTCTAGAGCACGGGGCCTGACAGGTGCTCTTCTGTCCTTTGGAGGAGGTGCTGGTGGGTGGGGGAGGGGCTCTCACCTGTCTGCAGGGCTTGCATTTCCTTCAGGGCGTTGACTTCTCTCCAGAGCTTTTCAACTTGAGACTTCAGATCTCCATCCTTTTCTGGGGACATTTTAGGGTGGGATGAGGTAGATGGGAAAGAAAGCATATGATTAAAATAAAATTCTTTAAAAAGAGCTTCAGGATGCAGAATTCAAGGCGGCGGCAATTTGGAGGAAACTGGGCTGAGTGTAGGAAAAACTCGCGCATGAAGACAGCGTGGGCAGGAAGACGGGGGCGAGGGATTGCTGAGGCTGTAACCCTGGGAGCCCTTTCGAGATGGAGCTTTTGCCCCCTCTTTCGCCCCACAAGATTCCCCTTGTCACAAGGCTTTGGACTCTTCAGCTCTTGGCATGTGGGAGAATGAGAGCTGTTTCCCCTTCCTGTGCACCTGGGTTGCCCCACTCCTGCCTCCCTCCTGACCCAGCTTCTCTTTGAACATTTCTGATTACGCTCTAGGTTGGAATCCAATCCGTACTCTTTCTTTGATTATTGTCTATTTTCTCCAGATCACTTTCTCCAATCTATATATCACCCACTTATTTCCTTCTGAATGTTTTCAGTACCCAGGGCATTCCTGATGCCTAACATGATGCTAGGCCCATAATATTCGTGGCATGTACTTTATGGTGTAAAAAATACTTTCATGTTAAGTGCTTTTTTTAAAAAAAATTGTAGTTGTAGATGGGCAGAATGCCTTTATTTTATTTGTTTATTTTTATGTGATGCTGAGGATCGAACCCAGGGCCTCACATATGCTGGGCAAGCACTCTGCCACTGAGCCCCAGCCCTAATGTGCTCTTTAAAAATAGCAATAAAGGGAGAAAACTGATTCTCTTTGAAAAGAAGGCTCAGCCCAGGGAGCTAGGTGATTGGTAGGTAAGTTCCAGGACTCCGACTAATGTAGGACCCCATGCCATCTGTCCCCAGTATCCATTTACAGCTGATACATCTGGTCTGGTGGCTCCCAGCAGGGCTGAGCAATAAAGGATCAGGTAGAAATTCACCCATGTAAGGGATGAGCCACTTCTTTAGTCTTGAATGTTCTTGGTTGGTGCTAAAGAATTTTCCTGGCTGTCAGATCAACTTGACTATAGGTAAGTGGTAACAAATTAGTAACCTTGGCCAAATGCAAGCTCTAGAACTGCTAGGGACTCCCTTAGACATAAACAGCTTTATAACATCATAGTAAATCATAAAAACAAATATTAAAAGCCACCATATACTGTCTTCCAGGAGACTAATTCTTTCAGTATTCCTATGAGAAAGATGCTACCGTTGTCTCCATTTTACAGAAGAAAAACTAGAGGCAAAGAAAATGGAATGAGCCTGCTGAAGGTCACCCAGCTAGTGAGCTGCAGAGCTGGGACGTGCATTTCCCTGGCTCAAGCCTGTTTTCATCCCACCCCTCTGATCTGCTTCCACCCAGGGATTTCCTCTACTCCTTGGTCCCAGGCACATAGCCTTCGAGTAGATGCTTAAAGCTTTATAAGAACTGTTCCCAGAAGTCTCTTTGTGGGGATGCCATACATAGAATCCATTTCATTTTTTTTTTAATCCTAGGATTTTTTCAGGACAGTCTGACAGTCTAGGACATGTCCTAGTGCATTATCCCCTTGAACATGCTCACAAGCCAGATGTTTCCACATTTGGGTAAAGAAATCACCTTCTGGGGTATCCAGGGCCAGTCCCACCTCTACTTCACTTAATGCTGTACGTCGATTCTTAAAGTATCAACAGCTCAGCTCAGAAATACAAGACGACAGAGATTTTCTCCAAGGCACCATTCAAACAGGAATAGACTAAAGGGCACACTTAGAATGCAAAGCCATCAGCTGTTGGGCCAGGCTTGCAAAGTCCTCCGAAGACTCTCTTCCAAGTTATGTTGTCAACTGGACAACTGTCATCCCCCTCACTCTTGGCTTCCTGCTCCCTTCTATTTAAATAAGTGGCCTCCACTGGGAGACTGTAAACACTGTAATTAGCACCAAGACAGTGAATTAGTATTAGGCTCCTGGGAGATCATTATGGAAGTCATTATCCAGGTGACTTGTCTTCTGCTGCCCTCCCTTTGTTGCTAATGGGGATGAACAAAGGGATTATATTTCACTGCAGAATTTGTATTTTAGTTATTAACGCAACACATAATTTGTTGTGACCTGGGATGTAAGTAATCACAGGAAAATCTCATGTTTGGAGCTCACTCATTGCCATTTTGAATTTCTGAAAAGGTTCCCTTTTATGAGGGTTGTTACCCAGAATTGGATATAATACGGAAATGCAAACAATGTTCCAGAAGATCTGACCAATAAAACTCTATGTTGATACTTTAAGAATCCATGTACAGATGGTTGTCATGCAGGGGAATGGCCACGCCCACACACTGAGCCTAGGGTGTGGACGGCAGAGATCTTTTGAAGAGACGAGCAGAGAATCCCATTAACCTGCAGTTTTTCTTGAAGAAACATAACATCTAGCAAGGGGATCGATATGTGTATACAAAGCACTTCCTCAGGGACATTGTACCATAAAGAGATGGATTGGAAGCCATACAGAAATTTACCAAGAGAAAACATTGTCACGACCCGCCCAAACAATGGTACAATATCTTGAATGAAATATGTTTTCTATGGAGAGCTGTCCAGGATTTCACAGACGAATTAAATCCATTTGCCTGCCAAACAGTTTGCACAGCCAATCTGGAAACATTAACACCCAATGTTTAATGGGGGTAATACTGTGACAGGACTGGGGTAGAAAAGATGGCTTGGACTTTTGACTTCATAAACTTTTAAAATATTTTAAGCTCTTTAAAACAATACCACAGTATATGGGTGGATGGGGAAAGACCTGTTCAGAAAACAGGGCTATTGCTTCACCTCCAGCAGGGTCTACTTTCTTGGACCTGATGGTGAGGAATGTTTTGGAGAGGCAATGTTTAAGTTGTAGACTCCCCAAAAAAGTATGTGTGTGGGGATGGGGGAGAAGGGGTGGAGAGTGAGCGAGAACACATTGACATTCTCTCCCTGCATCCCTACTGGGTAACCCCCATTTTTTCCTACTTTTCCCAGCAGTGAAGAGAGGCTGGCCAGAAAAATCTGCCACATCACCCTGGATCATCTCTCTCTCCCCCCCACTTCTTCCCCTATCCTGGTCCTCAGCTGTGTACTTCATCTACTTATTAGAAATATTGTAACCTTTCATTAAGAGGGGGAACTGGGACATGTAATCCTTTATAGGGAAAAGGCTCTGCTTAGGATACCTCGCACTAGACCTAGATTTTATAAATAAATGCCCATGGAAAGGGCCCTTTAAAAATCACTAAAACAAAGCACAAGACAAGCCCCCTTGGACCCCTAGTGCAATCTAGACTTTTATCTTGTTGGTATTTTTTTTTCCTAATGAAGTGAAATTGCCATAAAATCCCCCTTGAAATGTCCTGAGAGGAAAATGGCTAAAAGGATGAGATGAAATGTCCCCCTGGGTCTGGCTGCTTTTTTTCTCTTTCTCAGTTTCAGCATACTGCAAATACATTGTCCTAACTTAATTCATGACAACTTTTTTAAACCTCTTTGCCTATATCAAGTCGCCCCAAGTTTGGAATTCCTTAGAGAGTCCATTTTGTTTCCAAACATTGCACGACTTTACATGTGGACATGTAATCTTAAAGAGGAAGTTTGATGCTCTGACATAAGAAATGTAAATAGGTGGCATAGACTCTCCTAAGACGGCCAGGGAATAAACCTATAAGGTAGCTAAGGACGAGAAAGGAGCTGGCGGATACCCACAGCTTTGTCCTCTGCTGCACGTTTAGTACAATCACAGTTCTTACAAACATATTTGAGGGAACTACTCAATACTTAGGAGTATTGAGTACTCCTACATAACGGTGGACTCTACTTGCCCTGTCATTTGTAATGCCCCAACTTCACGTACCCAGGTGAGCGCCCTCTGAGGAACATGCCATATATCTAAGCCCACCAGATAGGTAAGCCAGAAGTTTTTATATTACAAAGCTTTTCTTCAATAACTATAAAATCCTGCATGATTCCTTTAACTATCAAACTCTCAGAGATTCCAAAGTTCACTCACTCGGTCCCCTGTAAAATGACATGCACATGCTGGCATTGTGCTGTCACCAGGGACAGGCTCCTGGTGGGTAGATATGAACTCGCCCGGCACCTCCACACACTAAGCCCCGAGGGTGGCTGGGCTGAACAGTCCCGTTACCTTTCACTCGGCGTTTGCTGTGCTTCCTGGCTTTTAATCTGGACGTGTGGCTGGTGGTCTGGTCCAGGAGTAAGGTGATCACCAGGATACAGATCACAAATCCACTCTTTGCCATGGCTCCTGGGCTAGTCAGTGAGGCCACTCTGCCAGCCCCTCTGCAGCAGCAGCTACGGAGCAAGGAGACTGCTCGGCCACATCTTGCCCTGGGTGCCCTGGGCCAGCTTTATAAACATGAGTGGAGGAGGTTGGCTGAGCTCCTGCTGACGAAATGTTTGAATGCCTCGGCTGGCCAGGGCATAAGGTGGCTCCTTGTTCTCAGGCCACATGTTGGACTTTTTATTTATTTTAATTCTGTTTCATTTGCCTTCTCGGAGTGTATCAGAGTTCATTAAGGGTTTTGCCTGTTTTCCTATTTTTTTTTTTTTAAATCTAAAGTTTGGGAGCCTTGGGGTCTCCTTGAAGACCCAACATTTAAAAGTGTTTTATGTGGAGCTCTGAAGTTTATTAAATGTTCTGGAAAATGAATTCGGTTCAGTTTCAGAGCAAAAGGTTGGAGAGACATGGAGAGAGAGAGACGTGGAGGAAGACAAACAGATTCCCAGTAGGGTGGTGAGAAAGAAACCTAAAAAAAAAAAAAAAAAAAAAAAAGCCAGGGAATTTAATTCTTTAATGTGAATGTGTGCATGAGAGGGATGTCACAGAATTGGGCATTTAAACTATTGTGTGTGCACATGCATGTGTCTGAATGGCTCAGGGGGACCTTAGGAATAGTTCATGCAGTGAGATTTATGGAGTGGCTCATGTGAGTAACCCATAATGCAATTTATGAGTCCTCCCTCTGTTAGAGTTTTGTGGCTGCATCAATATGTGCATGCATTCTTGAAAAATACCTTAGAGTGAAAAGAATATTAAACAGGTGAATTACTTCCATGAGAATAATGTAAAACAACAATAATTATTTTACAAATCTCTATCACCCCACTTTTTGCCCTTGAAGCTACTTGACCCACATTAAATCATACTTTCTCCCTGCTCAGTATTAGGGACTGAACCCAGATGTGCTCTACCACTGAGCTACGTTCCCAGCCCTTTTAACATTTAATTTCAAGACAGGGTCTTGCTCAGTTGTTGAAGCTGGCCTTGAACTTGCCATCCCCCTGCCTCAGCCTCCCCATAGCTGGGATTATAGGTGTGTACCACCATGCCTGGCTTGCAGTCAAGTTTTGATGGACTCTAGGGACCTGGGCTGTGACAGTGTGCTTTGGCTTGAATACAGAAGATCAATGTGTATAAATCATTGGTCACACGATTGTTTAAATTGTTCTTTGTCATCTTTCTGGATCCTTTAGGAAGAAATTTCAAGTTACAAAACAGTAATAGAATGTATAGCATTTTTCTTGATCTGTGTTGCACCCTTCCATGGACAAGGTGTCGTCTTCAAAATAATTCTATATTATTTTAAGACTACTCTTCTTTCCCGGTGACACCTCTGACACCTTGTTGATTTGGTTTTTCTTTGAGCCTGATCCTAAAGCATATACTTTCTTCTTTTTCTTTTTTGTGTTGCTAGGGAACAAACCCAGGGCCTCATGCACACTAGGCAAGCCCTCCTTCACTAAGCCACACTGCAGACCCACTTTCTTCCTTTTAATGTAGATTTATGGACCTTATTTTTCTGGAGCAGTTTTAGAGCAGTTTCCCATATGCCCCTTCCCCCTATAGTTCTTCCTATTATTAACATCTTGAATTAGTGTGGTGTATTTGTTACAACTGATGAAAGGATTAATGATGATACATTGTATCAATTAAAGTCCGCAGTGAACCATGGTCCATGGGCAGTGAACATTCTGTGGGGTTCAGACAATGTACCGGGTTCTGTCTACAGCATCACAGAATCCTACAGGATGGTTTCTCTGAAGCCCACCCTTCTGGTTCGAATGAAGCCTTGGAGACTCCACCTCTTCCCTTCTGCCTGGGGCTCCTGGGGACTTTCCGTGGGCTACTCTAATCCCCCTCCCTCTTACACAATCTGATTCCATTTCATGGCCTTAGATTTTCTGTCTTGGGCTCCTCCATCTACCTCCCCTATTGGATATCTTCCCGTTGGGCTAATCGTTCCCATTTCCCACCTGAGAATTCTAGTTGTTGTCTCGGACATTTCAACCTATTATGTTCAAAAGTTAAATTCTGGATTTTTTTCTCCCATGAACGCCCTACGGATTTAAAAAAAAAAAAAAAGTCACATTTCTCCCAAGGTTACAAAGAGGTGTTAGCTGGGAGTAAACAGAAAGGGATTAGACTGGATTTCCTCACTGTGATATAGAAGGGGGCCCTGGCTCCTTGAGTCTTCCTTAGACGCAAGTAGCTCAGGCCTTCAGAACTTCCAAATCTACCACCCCAGACCCCCTCTTTACCTGACAATCCAGGCAATCTCCCCCATAACCTTGCCAGTAGTAAGTGCTGGGGTTCTACCCCAGAAATGCTATGGCTTGACTTGTCCTTCTGCCCTGCCCTTATCTCATCCAAGTCACCAAGAGCTCTTGTCCTGACCCAGTGAACCTTGCGTTCTTTGCTGATAGGACAGTCGTTCTCGACTTCAAGCCCTCTGAATCTTTCCATCGTACTTAGCACGAGGCCCAGACTTCTCATCATGGTTTCTGAGGCCCTCCCACCTGGTGACATCTCACTTGGTCTTTCTTGGTGACTTTCTCCCATCCGAGACCCTTCACCAGTTTCGAATCATTTCTAAGTCAGACTCCTCACCCATACAGGGCTGTCCCATATGCTTCGTCTCCATCTCTCTACCCCAGCCCTCCTACACTTTAATTCCCTATGAGTGCCAGCAGGACCATAGCTGGCTTCTCCTGTCCTTTAGGTCTGAACTCTGTCACCTGTGCTTTCTCTGTTTGCATCATCCAGGAGGGTTCTACTCTGCTGTTTAGGACCCTGGATTCCTTCCTGGAACCCCCAAGAAAACTGGGGGACAAAAGGAACATGCTCTCCTCCTTTCAGAGTACCCTTATTCTCCCTTGAGAGGGTCCCCTTTTCCTATCCTTTCTACTAAACTCCTGCCTCCCACTCTGAGGAAACAAAACTACACACATCAAAGATAATGAGGCAGGTGGCCCCCTCCCCTCCTGGTCCTGGGGAAGGCAGGCCGGTGTCCTCTTGAGGACTGAACAATTCCTTATTTGTGGAGCAGGATGATGTCATCTGCCTTGTCTCCTGGGCTGGACCTGGGCTTCTGAAAGGACTATTTAAGAAGAAGCCCACATTTATAGCCAGGGAACAGGAACTATAAAAATATTGCCTCTAGACAAAAAGTGTTTTGATGAGGATTTTAAAACTGTCACCAGGGTCTTATTTTCTTTAATAAATGACTATTGGCAGCACAGCCCTTGACCACCCTGTGTAGCTGGTGTGTTTATTCCACAGGTTGCTATTTTAAAGTTGCTCTAAGCTGTTTTCCAGAGTCTCGAATTCTAACCCACAAATCCATCCGGCCTCAGTGCTGTTTGTCTATTAATACTCAAGTCTGAACACGTTTGCAGGCTGCGTTCAGAGGTTCAAGGGCAGCATTTAGGGGAGGTCACAGGACTGAACTTGAATATAGCACAGCGAGCTCAAGTGCACGGAGGAAAGATTTGTTGTGGTGTGTGCGCTAAAGTGGCCTTGTTTCTCCTGTGGTGATTACTCGTAGCTGTGACTGCTGAAAATGTCATGGGATTTGAAGAGAGTTGGTGACAGGTTTTAGAGAAGAGGGTTATCAGACTTCTAAGCCTGGGTTAGCAGTGAATGGGACAAAGATCAAAACTCTGATAGTCTGAGATTGAAGTTTCTGATGTCATTTATGAGTGGCGCGACAGTGGCCAGACTTGTCATCTCTTTGAAGCTGGTGTCCTCACCTATCTTGCAGAATGGTTATAAAAATGGGAAACCATATATATAAAATAGGCAGAGCCTCATATTGTCATCGTAGGTGATCAGGCTTCCTTGGCTACTGTCCTATACACACACATCGTCTGAACTTCTCAGACTCACCCCAGCCCTCACCCCAATCTCAAAGCCTCGGTCCTCTTTGAGCCCATAGAACTTCTAAAACATGCAGCCATTGTACATTTATTTCTCTTCCCTCCTGCCACATGATGTGGGATATAAGTCTTAGTCTCTCCTGAGTTTCTAGACCTGTGTAGTTCAACAGGTAATAGTGGCTATTAGCATGGTTCTAATGCCTGTCTGAATGCCTCACAAATATGTATTACATGAAATGATTTAGCCAAATGGCTCTGAAGTCAAGAAACTGGTGACTTAGATCCAATTACTCTTAGGTGCCAAGCTAGGACTTTTTTAAAATGTAAATCCAGTAAGAAAGTCATTATTATCTGGTTTTATGAGTAGAGTGATGGTTCTTACATTTCTCAAATTGTAAGAGTTGGTCAGGCTTGGCTCTCTCACACCAGAGCTCAGCTATGGGGTGAGATCCACCTGGTGGTAAAGGGGATTTGTGTCTTCCTGGGCTTACCCAAGAGATCAGTCAGGAGGTGAGGTGAAAGTTTCTGGTAATCTCAGGGCAGTGGGAGTAGAATAGTTGGATATCAAGTTTAGGAGAGATGGGGAGTCATTCAATCCAACTAGATACTTGGGTCTCTATTGCAGAATCCCTGGCAAGTCTCTACTCTGTACCCTTCCCCAGCAAGGTAGCCAATTCTATTGCTAGAAAGTTCTGTGTAACCCAGAAGGTATTTTTCCTCCTCCTCTACCACCTTTCCCAACTTATTATGACTAGTTCTCTTTCTTGGCAACCCACGAGGAAAGATTACAGCCCCAATTAACTCACAAAGTCTCATGTTACAGCATTTCCCCCCACCTCCATGTTCTTGGAGTTCTCAGGATTAGTTACCCTCTGGCCTCTGGTTCAGCTTTAGGCATGTGGTAGGCGCTTCTCTGGGCTGGTTTCTGCTGTGTGATCTCATCTTGAACCAGTTCCCTCTCCTCTTTAGGACCAAGTGTTCTCCTGGCTCCTTCCCATCCTGCCTACTTGTGGGGCCTCCTAGACATGGTGCTGAGGTCACCATATCCCTGGCCCTGTAATAACTGGACACCTCACCTATTTCCCTGCTGCCCATACCAACATGTGGTAGTGGAAAGTGTACAAGTGACATCACACAGACGGGAGCTGAGTGGTGGTGCTCTTGTCTGCCAGTTCTGT